CAGCTAACAGACAAAGATTTATCTATTTCAGTCTGCTGAAGCTGGTGAAAAAACCTTCCATGTAATGCTTTTGACTTCCACTCTTCCAGGCGGTCTTTGTCCGTAATAAAGATTGGCACAGTTTCATGAGAGGCTAATTGTAGAGCAGTGTGCCCACGATCGAGATTGCAGATTATCTTATGGCACAGCACTGCGCTTTGTTTAAAGTACTTCCTTAGGTTCTTTTCTATACTTCGACAAGACTCTTCAATATTTGTAAGACCTCTCCCTCCTTCCTTTCTTGGCAGGTTAAGCCTTGCTATAGATGCAGTCGGGTGGTGCATTCTGGAACCCGTCATACTTGTTCTTATTAACCTATCCAATTCCTAGAGTGACGTGGACCATTTTAGAATTCCAAAGCTGTAGGATAAGGAAGGAATAACCCACGTATTTATAGCTTTTATCATTAATCCTGAAGAAAGATGTGTTCTAAGGATAATCTTTAGTCTTGTTTTAAATGAAGCTATCAATTTATATTTTACATCCTTTCTAGCTATTTTTAAATGCTGTTCTATCCCTAAATATTTATACATATCTTCTTTCTGAAGGTTCTTAATATGAAATTCTTCATTAAACAAGTTTTCGGAATTATTTGGTTTTCCTTTTATAACGTGAAGAACTGCGCATTTCTCAGTCCCAAGTGACATCTGTGTGGAGTCACTAATGTGGCTAACTGTCTTTAGCATAGACTGGAGCTGGGATTTATTCTTCGCGTAGAGTTTTAAATCGTCCATATAAAAGCTATGGCTGATCATTGCACTTAATTCATTAAATTTTACTTTGTATCCGTTTTCTTCACGATTTAATAAGATTGACAATGGAGCCATCGCAAGACAAAACGAAAGGGGGCTGAGGCAGTCTCCCTGGTATATACCTCTTGAAATTGTAATGTATTCAGGTGATTGCTTTCTCCCATTCTCAGTCTTGTTTTCCACTTTTTCATCAATTTCCTCAGAAGTTCTTTAATATAAGGATGGATTTTTTATAAATCCAGAACTTTTAAAATCCAACTATGAGGAACTGCTGAGCCAAATGCTTTTTTGTAATCAACCCAGGCAATTGACAAATTTCTTTTATTCATGCTCGTTTGGCCTGCAATGAATGAATCGATGAGCAAAAGTTCTTTACACCCTTGGGCTCCTTTTCTACAGCCAAGTTGCTCGAGTGGAATCAAATTATTGGTTTGCAGGTGAAATTCAATTTTACTTGTGAGAATGGATGTTAAAATCTTATACACACCGTGAGGCAAGTAATTGGCCGAAAGTCTTGGGGGTCCAATCGATCTCCTATTTTTTTGGGAATCAGCACAGTAACGCCCTCACAAAACGTTTTGGGAATGTCTATTTGCCCTGTTATCATTTTTTTATAATTCATTGCAAGTGTTTTATGCAGGCAGGATAGATTTTTTAACCAGTAATTCTGAATTCTATCACTACCAGGCTCTTTCCAGTTTTTCATTTTCTTTGTAGCGATGATTACATCCTCTTTCGAGATGTCGATTCTGGCATTTGAGGTTTCTCCTGAAGTTCAGTATTTACTAATTTTAACCATTCATTTTCATTATTATGCTCTACAATGTGCTCCCAAAGCTCTTTCCAATACTCTATAATATTGTCAGTTAATGAACAATTTGCACCTCTCTTATTATCATTACCTAAGCTCTGATAAAACTGCTGCGTGAAATTATGATCTGTGTCCTCCTCAGTACCAGAGTGCTGACCCGTTAATAGAACAATTCAGTAAAGATGAAGTTGAAGTAGCTACTGGAAAAATAAAATCTTATAAAGCAGCGGGAGCTGATGATATTCCTAGTGATCTAATTAAGGCATGCGGGGAAGCCGGAGTTTCTAAAATACATTTGTTGGTTAAAAATACCTGATAGAATGAGAAATTACCTGAAGAATGGAAAGAATCTACTATTTTTCCAATTCACAAAAAGGGTCCGAGGACGGATTGTAATAACTATCGATGAATTGCACTCCTTCCGGTATGTTATAAAATATTCACTTTAATCTTAACTAGTCGAATCTCGGAATACGCCGAGGAAATTATTACCAATCCGGATTTTGACGGAACTGTTCGACTATTGATCAAATATTTTCTTTACAGCAAATATTGGAGAAAAAATCAGAGTACATCGGTGTTGTTCACTAGCTGTATATTGATTTCAAAAAGGTTTACGATTCTATAATATTTTAATCGAATAGGAGATTCCTAAAAAAATAGTAGATCTAGTTAGGATTTGCTTGACAGAAATGCTCAATAAAGTTAGAATTAGTAATTATTTATCCGAAAAGTTTGAGATTCATTTCGGTTTAAAACAAGGTGATTCTCTGTCCCAGAACTTAAAATTTAGAATCTATAAAACCATTATCTTACCTACGGTTCTTTATGGATTCAAAACGTGGCCGCTTACATTAAGGGATGAGCAACATCTTAAGGTTTTTGAAAATAAAGTATTGCATAGAATATTCGGACTGAAGAAGGATGAGTTTACCGGACAGTTCAGATGGCTACACAACACCGAATTGTGTGATCTGTATCCAGTTAATATAATTGATGCGATTGAATCGCAGCGAATCAAATGAGCTTGTAAAATTGTTGGACTTAGGAACGAAAGAATTCCTAAAAGGTTAATATTTGCTGTACCGAATGGTAAATGTCCGAGGGGTAGACCGAAACGAAGGTGGGACGATTTTTTTTTTTAGCTTAGTTGACTTAGAGCACCACGACCCTTGAAGGAACTATTGTGTGCCAATTTATGCTGTTTGTTTTATTCCTAAAACGTTATTTTTGTTGCTTCCGGGTGTCTTAGTAGCCTTGTTGGATTGACCGACTCATAGCTACTGGGGCGATCTATCCGTTCCATTCCAAATAGCTTCCGTCTAAGCCTTGCAAATCTATCACATCGACAGACAATGTGAAAGGCTGCTTCATTCTCCTCCTGACAGAATCTGCATAGCTGGTTCATCGTCACTTGGAGATTGAACATGTGGTAGTTTAACTTACAGTGGCCTGTGTAGATCGCTGTAAGCTTTTTAATTGCTGCTCTGCCCATACTCAATAGCAGTTTGCTTCATCCACATCTTTTTTCCTTAGTGCATCATTTATGATGTCATAGGGAGTTCTATCAAAGGCACCTTCAATATCAACGAAGATGCCTACCATGATTTCTCTCTGTTCTAAGGATTTTTCTATTCTTGTTACCAAGTTGTGAAGCACCACCTCACAGGATTTCCCTGGTTGGTAGGCATATTATTTTGAATGTATTGGTATTGGTATCCCAATTGTCAGATGTTTTTGCAGCATTAAATAATCTCCTTGTGAGTGTTTTGCTTTGTTAGACTACCAATCCACCAGGAAACCTTCCTGTTGGTTATGGTTTTTTTTAGCTTCATTACTGGCCAGATATGACTTAATCATAGCGTCAGTTAATGAAGAATTAGGACATTCAAGCTGCCATGCATTGTGGATAGCTTTGAGGCAGCATTTGGTAGCCGCCTCCAAATTAGTGCTATAAGAAGCCCAGTCTGTACGTTTGGGTTCTCTATATTCCTGATCATGTTGTATTCTGTCAGATATATGGAATCTGATATACCTGTGATCCGAGCATGTTTCTTCATCAGAAACATGCCTGTAGTCTATGAGAACACTAACCATTTGAGTCCCTAGTGTTATGTCTATGATCTCCGATTCAACCTTATTACAAAAGATAGGTTTAATCCCTTTATTCAGAATATCCAGATCATATTTAATTATAGTCTCCAAGAGTTTCTCACCTCTAGAGTTGGTTGGTATTTGAGCTCCCCCAGATCTCGTTGTGTGCAATGGCATCCAGGGCAGCTATGATTTCGCCACTACAGCTTAGGATTCCCTTGATTCCATCTGCAGGTTCTGGATTTTCATATGGCAAATAAACCACCGCTAAGATTATAAATTTTCTGTCCCCTTGATGGGAGTATTTAGTTGCTGCAAGATCTCTAGAACAGAAGTTTTAGTTTATTCTTTTATAGTAGGCAGGTCCTGGGGTATAATTCCGTACCCAGGCATGCTCAATCCCCTGATCCTGACTTCAAGTAAGTAAGGTTCAAATATTAGAATAATATCTATAACCATACCTTTTATGTACTGTTGCAATACACCACTTGCTGCTATGCAGTGGTGAATGTTGATCTGCAGTAGTTTCATATTTTTTTATTTTCGGGAGGTGATTTTCCAGACGAAGCTGATGGTAGGGTTCCTCAATCAGACTCAGTTTTCATTTTATCTTTAGGCTTCTCCCCTCTGCTTGACCTCACTTTCAACTCGCTGCACGGGTTTGGAGTGCCCCGAGACCAAGGTCTGGTCCCCAGACTGCGATCGTGGCTGGGATTCGCCTCTGGATCCAGTTTTCACTGGATCCTTTGGCTTGGCCACGCCTCCTGACACGGCTGACGTCCTTGACTCGACCTTGATGCACTCCTTGTAGAAGAGGAGGATTCCAAGAGCTTGGTGCTCGACGCCAGATGTGTGTAAGGACGTAGTAACAGTTGCGAATGTAACAGTTGAAGGGCTTTCGCTTTTTTCCTGTTACCCTTTTTACATGCGTGGTAGGCCTTGAGTCCTTGGACTTGTGATACACTGATGTGTGATGGACTTGTGATCGCTCGATTGCTCCGCACAGAGTTGGGGAAATTCTCGCACCCATCTCCCTTTTTAGACTTCCCATTACCTTACCCATTTGTTCCCCTTGAACAGTGGAGGGAGGTGTGTAATAAGCAATTAGTGGTGTCGGCATCGAACCTTTAAGTTCACTAAGCCTTTTATTATTATTATTATTAAAACAACATCCTTACAAAAAACATTTTACTGCCATACTCCCAATGCCTGTATTTGTGTCCATTCAACTGCCACTAGTCAGGTGTATATTACAATAAAATATGGTCTTAAATGGTAATTAGTTTTTTTTTTATTTAATTCAGGACCATTTCAAGGAATTGATGCAGAAGCAGTTAAGGAATCAGTTGAAAATATGTGGCGAACTCTTTATAAACTTTCCCGTACTTTTTCTGATGTCCCCGGATCTAGAAGAATTGCCGAACTTGTTAGGGGAAAAATAGACAAGTTTAAACAGTTTTTACCAGTTTTACAAGCTATTTGTAATCCAGGTTTACAAGATAGACATTGGCAATTGGTAAATGTTTTATTCATGTTTTATTTACAATTTATAAGATGAAATTAACTGATGAATCTTTTTACCAGATCAGTGAAGCAGCTGGTGTGCCTTTAGACATAAGCAGTACAACTTCATTATCAGAAATGATTGACCTTGGACTTATTAAGTTTGTGACTAAGCTGGAAGAAATTAGTGTAAGTGCATCAAGAGAATTTTCACTAGAAAAGAACTTAGCAAAAATGAAACTTGAATGGGTTGATATTTGTTTTGAACTGGGTACATTCAGGTATGTTCTTTTATCTTATTTAGTCTATATATTATTTAATAATTGTATCAATCTATTTGAAAAGCATGTTACCCCTCTCTTGGACTACCTGCGGAATAGAGTGGCCCAATGTCTGAACGGCCTTAGTCGAGTAGTAGGCGCTTTCTGGAGCCTCAGATACCCAGCAACAATGACCATTTATAAAGGTATGATTGTAGGTATACTGAGGTATGTATCCCCTGCTTGGAATCGGAATCTCTCACACCGACAGAAGAGCAAGTTGGCAACAATCCAGCGAACGCCTCTGCTGCGAATCACCAGAGCATACAGGACTGTTTCTCATGAGGCGGTGCAGTTACTAGCGGGAGGAGTGCCACTTGAACTCCTCCTGCGAGAAGATATGTTCAGGTACATATATAAGAAGTAAGGTTCAGCAGGTCTACCGGAAAACCTCAAAGAGAGAATCGACGAAAACCCTAGAAAATGTAAATCTATTATCCGGGAGGATACGATTAAAGGGAGGGACAAGTCCGAAAGGAGCCACTCTGAGGAAGTACTTCCCCACCATTCAATCACGTTTAGAAACCAAATGGGTCCTCCCAGATTACTGGCTATTGCAATTCCTTACTAAGCATGGGGGCTTTCGAGACAAGCTCCATGGATTTGGAAAAGATGTCGATCCTCTATGCCCTAGCTGTGGGATCCCGGAGACTGCTGAGCACATTATCATAAACTGCATCACCTTTGAGTCGCTAAGGGCCAAATTGGTGAGGGAGACCGGTCTCTATGTTCTCACAGAGTCCGATTTTCCTCAGCTAGTTATGGAAGAAAACTACCCTTACTACAAAGAATTTGTGTACGTGTGGAAAGAAGCCATTGGACCCGCACACTTCAACCTCACAAGAAGAGAACCCGGGCCAGAGAGGCCGCCGGAACAAGGATGAGCAGAATAAGGCAATAAAGAGCAAATGTAAATATGAACACTGGTCTCGTTGCAGAAGCAGGCAGTTATGCAGTGACGTGTAACAGCCCAGATCTGCAAAACCCGTATTGCCTCAATGGCACAGTAGGGTTAAAATAAATAAATACTTGAAAAGCATGATCTTAATTTATGTTGAAATGTTTTGTAAGTTTTGTAGAAAATTACAACAGTTTCTCTCATATCAGTTACTCATAATATTATTAATAATTTTATTGTTCAAAAGTACAAAACTTAGTAGCAAGGAGTTGGCTAAATTAACTATTTAAACTTCTTAAATTAACATTTTAAACTTCTTTTGAAGATCTGTCCTCGTTGATAAAAAACCGAAAATATACGATGTGTGTACCAATTACGTTTTCAGCCCTAATACAATAAAATATAATATAATGAAATACAATAAATATATATACTAATACAATACAAATAATAGTACAATGGAACTGAACAATTCAGTGAAACAAAATGCAATGAAATAAAATTTTTCCTGTTTCGAAATTCCTTAGAGTTTCTCTTCAGCCATTCCTTTCCAATCTAATAATAAGTTCCTTAATTTAAGGCAACAACAGGAATAGTGATACAATATATTGAAATTTATTTATTTTTTTCTATTCTTAAGATGGTTTCCACACAATTTATGGTTAGCTCTATGGTACCTCATAACTTTCCTGCTAATGTCATTGAAGATAGGGCAATTGCCAAGGAGATGTAAAATTGTGTCTTTACTTTTTTTGCACAATGGACAGTTTTCTTTTGGCTGGAAGTCTATGGCTTTTTTGTCAAAACAGATTCTAGATGCATGCATTTGTCCCATCAGCCTTATCTGAATTACTTATCTGATTTTAGTTATTGGCATCTTCATGTTTAAATAAGGTTCAATGCCATCTAAAGAGCTTATACATCTGTATAATGGGCTGAATGAGTTGTTGAGGACTTTACTTAGCCAATGGTTCTGAACTTTCTCAATAATTTCACTCAACCCTTTGATAGGATTGGTTGGTTCTCCATACCTCTCCCCTCCCCTCCCCCCCAATATGTCTAGAATTTTTTTTAAACCCAGTTACCCATTTGAAAGGTAGCTTGTAGGCCTTGACAGTCTTAATGAGGGCAAGGTAACATTTCTTGCATAAGTCATCCTCTTCAAGACTTTAATATGGGTGTGAGGCCGTCCAGTCTCCAATCTCACTAAACTGTTAGGTGTATTGTATGGAAGATGGAGAATCTTTTTAAGAAGTAATAGATGGGCCTTTTCAATTGTATCTGCATTCAGAATTCCAAATTTCAGATAAATAGAGCAGTGTGCTTTCTGCGATTGATTCGTATAGTTATTTTTGTATGCCATTTGTCTGATTTTCAATTTGAGAATATTTTAAAAACTAAATATTACCTAAGACGTTTTAGGCAGATTTTAATAATTTCATGAAAAGGGTCCTGTACCATGGACTAATGATTTTTAGAACAATATCCAAAAAATAAATAAATTTTGCTTAAAATAAAAATATGTATTGTTAAATCATTGAAAAAAAATTCTTTAAAAATTGTTTTTGTTTTATAAATACTGGACCTCCTCATGTTTATTATTTATCTAATGTGAGATTGATTAACAGGGAAACTGGAGTTTCCATATTGTCTGCTGTGGATGATATACAAGTAATGCTTGATGATCATATTCTGAAAGCACAAACAATGAGAGGCTCTCCATATGTTAAACCATTTGAAAAAGAAATGCAAGAATGGGAGGAAAAACTTGTATCAATGCAGGATATATTGGATGCTTGGATACAGGTAGATTTTTAGAATTATTTAAAAACCAAGGTTAATGTTAGTGTTTAAATGTATCTATTTATTTAATAGAATTTTTAGAAGGAATTTATATTTAATTAGATAGTATTTAATGGAGTGTAATTTGTGAAAACTGCTACTGGTAACAGTAGAGACTAACCCTTTTTCTTGGCCATAGTAAAACCATGTAAACTTTTCATAAGACATTTAAATTTTTTATCATATCGAGGTTTCTATTTTTGAAGTGAAAACTTCTTTAGGTGCGTTTTGCACTTTTTATGTGAATAGTGAATTAGATTGAGCCGTCAAATGTTTGCACTTCAACGTGTAACAATCAGGGTAAAGTTGGCGGGAGTTAAATAATTAAAGTGTTTTTTCATATGGATTAAAATATCTCAAAAACTAAAAATCACACTTAAGTATTGTTAGTGTGCCTAATTTTTCAGCATTTCATCCTCTCTGTAATAGACTATTATTCAAAATTATATCTTTATGTGACACCGTTTTAGGGAGGCGAAAAGGAAAAATAGTGTTGAAAACCAAATGATAACGAGTTTTATTGAAGATAAGGGTTAAAATATCTCAGAAATTAAAAATCGGACCTGAATACTTTAGGTGTGGAAATTGTTCAGCATTTCATCGTCTCTGTAATGTGTTATTATTCGAAATTTTATCTCAACACGATAGCATGTCAGAGAGACGAAAAGAAAAAAATAGTGTCAAAATCAAATGATAATGAGTTTTATGGAAGATATGGATTAAAATATCTCACAAACTAAAAATTTTACCTACATACTGTAAGCAAGGGAAATGTTCAGCACTTCATCCTCTTTATAATGAGCTATTATTTATAATTTATATTTCATATTTTTAATCTCGCATTGTTGATGTTTTTACTTCTATCTTGTGGTCTAAAGCAGACACTTTAGTTTCTTTTTTAAATAATATTTAGTACCTATTGATACACTATCGAATTGAAGCAATTAATTGCTGTGCATAAAATTTAGATGAAAGTAAAAATAATTCATAATTCAATAATCTGAATACGAAAATTGTCAATTTGCTCTAAATCCTTACCTGTTTCAATCTAGAGAGTTATAAGCTATCATGACTAGAACAAATAAAGGGAAAGCTCTGGTATTGAGTAGGATACCAATTGAAATTTATAAAAACAGTCCGATGTCATTTCAAGAAACTTTATTAGATGTATTCAATCATATATATCAAATGGGTGATGTTCCAGAGAACTATTCTAAGTCAATTTTATTTCTCATATTTAAAAAGGGCAACAAGAATAATGTGAATATAACTTTATTTTCATGAAAGTACTTTGTATTTGGAAAAATAATTCAATGATCCTCTGTTGGCATGGTAATACTATTTTGGATCTCATCTGCTCAAGTCGGGAGCTCCCTGGGAAATCCTATATTTAACATCTCCAAAATACAAGTGACCCAACCAAACAAAAATCCTTTGTTCTCCTGAGCAGCTATCTTTTTCTTTGTTGTCCTGAAGAGCCGCCATCTTGTTTTTCTTCAAGTAGTGAAACCCTTTCAAATTCAAAATCTCTTGATATTATCAGAATTAGGTTAGCTTGCCTCTTAATTATAGTCCATGGTACTGACCCATTTTATCAAATTATTATCATCGGCCTGAAACTTCATATATAGAAGTTTCTAGCTAACCTTTTTTCTATAGATACTATTTCTTCCTTTGTAGCACTAAATTCATTTGTCTCCAAATGCTTTCTAATGTTCTGCCAAACACAACTTCCAAGATGGTAATACTATTTCTGGGTTTTACCCACTGGAGCCAGGATCACTTCTTCCATCCTCTCTTACTCCAGCCAAACACCAACTACTTGCCAAAACAAAAACCTTTGTCCCTCTCCTCTTTGGGATTTTCCTTCTTGGGAAACTACAGAGTTGCCATTTCCTTTTCCTGCACTAGTAGAACTAGATTAGCTTGCCTTTTAATTGTTAAACATTAATTTATTAAATCCTTTTTACTCACTTCCAATAAAGGTGTACATTACAGTATATTTAAAAATAAAAATTGACAAAAATAAATGAAAAAATCACTTAAATAGCATATGTACATATAAAAGAAACACTATGAAGACTATAAAGAACATATATACATATAAAAGAAACAATATAAACACTATAAGCAAAATATGAACAATTTTTAATTGGTAATTGGTTGACTGTCGTGGATAATGAAGAGAAGAATAGTTGGAGTGTTCAGTCAAAAAGGAAGGCAAAAAATAAATTATAATATTTATTTTTTACATATGCCGACGTTTCGACCTGAAGTTCAGGCCTTCATCAGGGCTTTCTCCTTAAGTGTCGAAGGGAGAATACAAAATAAACAAGGGAATAACTTAGGTTAGAGGAAATAAGGGAGATTATGTGAAGTAAGAGGTACTTCTTCACTAGGAGGCCAGGACTGACTCTTATCTGCCAATGTTTATAACCTGAACTCTGATAATTCCGATAAGGCAGTGATAAGCCTTCTCGTAATTCCTATCTTCGTATTATTGTATTATATTCGTGTTATCGAAAGTGTAAACAGAAACAAAAACAAATGAATAACAAAAAAAAAATTTTATTTTAACGACACATATATTATTGAAATAATAAAAAAACACTTAAAGAAGATATGTACGTATTAAAGATCAAAATGAAATAATAAAAAAACACTTAAAGAACATATGTACATATAAAAGATAAAATATCAAAACTATAAATGACATATGTACAATTTATTTTCACTTCGTCTTATTTATTTTGTTACGCAAAATAGTTTTATGCTATTTAAAATAGCGAGGAAACACCGCCACAAAAATTCTCATAAATATGAATCGAGGTGTTGTCTGGCAGTTCCTCTGTATATTTTATTTCTCCACTTAGCTGAGCCCCATAATCCTTCTATGTGTTGAGTATGAACCTCAGTTGATGGACCGACAAAATTATACAGGTGATTCACTTGGAAATGGTCATTTTTTGGGAGGTTTTTTGCGGCATGAGTGCACTACGGCCATGTAGGCCTATTGTACGCCTAGTTTGAAGTCACTTCAGTTTACAGTGTGATTCCTCTATGAACTGTAATAGGCTTGTTGGATTGATAAGTTCATTTGCCTTTGGATCCTTCTCCCTATCAATGCCGAATAAACAAAATCTTAGGTCAGCAAACCGACCGCACCAGCAAGTGAAATGATACTCTGTCTCATCCTCCCGGCCACAGTAATCTACAAAGAGAAGACTCTGTGAGCCAGAGTTTGAACATATGATAATTCAGTTTACAGTGTCCTGTATATGCTGCTGTAATTTTCTTCAGTGAGCTCCTGCTCAAATTAATTAGTAAGTTAGTTCTTGTTTGGCAGATTCCTTCCAGAAACAGTCTAGAGTGGGTCTGTTTTTTCAATAACCAGTTCCTTTTGTTTTCAGCACCATATATCTCCCCGATTCTGTTTGTTGTCAGACACTGACTAATACTAAAGATGGATTCCAGAGCTATGGGTGTCGTTTGAGAGCCTTGTCTGGCTAGTTCATCAACCATTTCATTACCATGAATTCCTGAGTGACCTGGAACCCATTTAATGTATAGCTTATTAAGTCTAGATAATTCGTTGAGAATTCTAACACAATCTCCAACTACCTTGGATCTAGTTGTATGGTTGTCTAGTGCTCTTATGGCCACTTGACTGTCCGTATATATTGCTATTCTACTCCCAACTAACCCGTCAAGCAGCATTTTTGAAGCACCGTGAGTTATTGCCAGTATTTCAGATTGAAACACTGTTGCGTAATTCCAAGTGCTATTGACATGCGTGCCTCTTGTTCATCCCTTTTTCAGAAACCAGCTCCAGATCCACATGTCATAAATGACCCATCAGTATAACAATTGATTCCATTAATGGGTTTATGTTTACCTGAGCTGTCTATTTTAACATTATACATCTTTGTGAGAAATTCTTGGGTTTAGTGTCAGAATGCATTGTAAGCAGTCTGTTACCCTCAATTTTTTTAATTATTTCGTAATGTCCCTCCAGGGTGTTTATCTTTGAGCACAATTTTAATTTCTGTAGCCTGTAAAAAGATTTCATGGCCTGCTTTTCAATCTCCAATTTGCAGTGGTAAGATACCTAACATTATCTCCATGGTTGCAGTTGGAGTAGTTTTCATTCTATTGTAAACAGACTGAAATTTCATTGTCAACAGGCTAATCTCTGTACTTTTTTCAATTGTATCCTGTTGTGGCCCACTCTTGCATTATGCCACCATACAACAGTTGAATATAGAAGTACAGGTCTGACTGCTGCAACATACAACCAGTAAACTATCCGAGGTTTAAGTCCCCATACCTCCCCTACTGCATTCTTACATGCACAGAGGCATTTTGGGGATTTTTTAGTTGTTTATTCCATATCATTTTATTGTCCAGCATAACACCTAGATGTTTTACCTCCTTACTTTCTGTTAGCTGGATATTATTTATTCTGGGTAGTCTTATTTCTATCTTTATTTTCTTTGTGAAGATGCAGACATTTATCTTGGCCGAATTGACACTAAGTCCACTGGCCCGGCACCATTCTTCCAAGACTTCAGTCGCATTTTTCAGCAGATCAGATAGAACATTCTGATGTTTTCCAACAATAAGAATAGCGATATTATCCACATATCCTTGTGCATAAAAGCCTGCAGTGTTTAGTTTTAAGAGCAAGGAGTCCACCTCCAAGCACCACAGTAATAGAGAGAGCACACCCTCCTGTGGACATCCTCCTCGAGGTTTACTCCACATTATGGTGTTTCCTAGTTCAGTTTTAAGAGTTCTTGTATCCAGCATGTTACCAATCCATTTGATGAGAAGTAGATCTATTTTTCTTGTCCTTAGAGTATGCATGATAGTTTCATAAGGAGTTCTATCGAAGGCACCTTGTGTGTCAACAAAAGTACCAATAGTTATTTCCTTCTGATTCATGGATTTTTCAATCCTTGATACCAGATTGTGTAGTGCAGCTTCGCATGATTTACCTGGTTGGTAAGCGAATTGATTGGAGTGTATCGAATTTGCATTCACTAATTGCTCTTTTATATGCCTGTCGAGAATCTTTTCTAATGCCTTCATCAGAAAAGATGGCATGCATATTGGCCTGAAAGACTTAGGGTCATCATATGTTCCTTTTCCAGGTTTTGGTATATAGCACAGTTTAGATCATCTCCATTCTGACAGAATGTAACCAAGCGCCATACTGCCCCTCAGTAACTCTAGGAGATAGGGTTTAATTGCTGAAAGTCCTTTTTTAATCAGTACTGGTAGGATCTCATCCAAACCAGCCGATTTGTAGGGAGACAATGTGTTTATAGCCCATTCCAGTCTGTTTGCTGTAACAATTTTTCTAGCCTTAATCCATCCCTCTCGATTAGCTGTATTGTTAGGGATTGTAGTATCTATACAGGCAATTTCCATGGTCTTACATCCAGGAAATTGTGCTGTAGCTAGTTCTCTCAGAGTTTCCAGCTCATTAAAAGTATATTTGCCATTAACTCTGAGTGTACCCAGTATTCCTTGGTCTTTCTGTTTCATAAGTATTTTTTTTTATCCTACTTGCCATAGGAGTGCTATCGATTTCTTGGCAGAAGTTCCTCCAGGACCGTCTTTTAGCTTTCCTCACAGATTTATAATATTCAGTGAGGGCGGTCCTGTAAACCTCCCAGTTGCCATGTTTTTTTGCAGCATTGAACAACCTTCTAGTAAGTGTTCTTTGCCTCTCTAAGTCCTTGTTCCACCAGGATACCCTTCTTCTGGATATCTTGGTTTTGATATCATTGCTTCTTAAATATGAGTTCCTAATTGCGTCTGTTAAAGATAAATTTAGGTATTCTAACTGCCAAGTATTGTATATTTTTTTTTGGACAATAGCTAATTGCCTCTTCTAAATATGATAGGTATTTTTCCCAGTCTGTAGATTTAGGATTTCTATAGTTCTCTATGGTTTTGTTTTTGTCAGACCAATCAAATCTGATATACTTGTGGTCTGAACAGGTTTCCACATCCAGTACATGCCAGTTTTGTATTTTAAACACGACCTGACAAGAGGGCAACGTTATATCAATGACCTCTGATCTTAATTTCTTAAAGAAGGTAGGTTTATTGCCCCTATTTAGTATCTGTAAGTTATTACTAATAATTATATCCAGTAATATCTCACCTCTAAGGTTGTTCTTGTTGCTGCCCCATATGATGTTGTGGGCATTAGCGTCCAGTCCCATCAGGGTATTCTCACTGCTGAAATTTACAATTTCTTCCATGTCTTGTGCTGGGTCTCCCGACTCATGTGGCAGATAACCCGCAACTATGGTCAGTGTCCTTATGTCTTTCGATGAGGTAAGTTTGGCTGCTGCCCAGTCCCTAGAACAAAATTGCCATAGAGGGGCAATAGTTTTTCTGATTTTTCATATAGAAGTCCTGGGGTTGGTGGCAACAGAAATAATTCCATAACCATTAATTCCCAACCTCCTGATCCTGCTATTACTGAAGTAAGGTTATTGGATTAATATGATATCAATATCCTCACCTTTTTAGGAGCACCCCACTAGCAGCAATGCAGTGGTGTAGGTTTATTTGCAGCAGCCTCATCAGGTTTCTTAATCGGTAGACATGTTTGAGGGGCTCCCAGGGTGAGACCGTGGCAGTCTTTCACCCTCAGACCCAGCCTTAACTGAGTCTTTGGGATGAGTCCCTCCTCCGGTTTCCTCCAGTGCCAATTGTCCAAAACTTCTCACGTTGAATGTATTGAAGGGCTGATTAGCCGTAGGTTCCAGTGGCAGGATTTCACCGGAGGAGACAGTTTTCACCATCCTCTCTGGCTTCTTCTCTCCTTCTGGTTTACCTCCAGACCCAACCCCCTTTACCCTACTTGATCTTCCAGGGGCCTGCCACGCAGCCGACGAGGATGGCTGGGATTCACCATGCGAAAGAACTTCTGTTCCCCCAACCGGTTTCATCCTGCCTCTCCCCGCAACCCCGCGGCTGGCTCCATTCCGAATAGCAAAGTGACTAATTGGTGGTAGATCCTCTGATCCACCATAGTTTGGAGCTTTAGCCTCAATGCCTTCCAGGACCTCCTCTTCTTCCTGTGGCATTGAGGATTCTTCCTTATTTTGATCTTTCCATACTTTGAAAGTAACTCTGCACCAGCCATAGCCAGCTTTCATGCCGTGTTTTTTGAGGCTTTCCAAGCTGGAGTCAGGGATTCTAACGTTGGCGAAGAATCCCTTGTCCATCTCTTTAAGGTAGTGCAGGTACCACTCATTCACTCCTTCGATTGTGGTATTTTGTGTTCTCAGCCTTTTCATTAGGGCCTCCTTGGTAAGTACCTTCCCCGGAAAGAAGGCCCCTATCTTCGAGGTTCTTATTAGTTCCTGTGCATTCCCCGTGCGAAGGGTGATCCCCTCCACCAAGTTGATGCTCGGGATTATTTTGGCCGGCCATGTGCACGTCTCATTGTTCATGCATGCGACAATTCCTCCCCCCGATCTTGTAGCTGACGCCATCAAAAAGTGGGTGGTATTCTCCATGTTCATCAAGCTCATCCACCTTTTCAGCAATGAGTTATCAGTGCCTCAACCTGTTCGCGGTCGAGCATGGCTAGCGGATAGTTCATAGGAACCACCGCAACCAGCTAACCCCCCAAGGCTGAGGCATAATTTCTGGTTACTGCTTCTATGGGTTTCTTGGCAATAGGTGCAGAGATTCCCAGTGAGGTTCTTTGCCTTTTGCCCGTCATTGAGGCCGGCCCCCGGGCCTCCACAGCCTTGGGTGTAGGGTCTCGAGAGACCTCTACGTCTTTAGCTGGTGGCCCAGAGGTCGACCCCATCTGGGTTAAGTGTTTTCTTGGAACCTTTGCAGCGGGCAGTGCAGCCTTGGTCGCGGGTCCATAATTGGGCCCTTGGAACTTTAGCTTCCCGCCCACCACTAGGATCCTTGGTGTCCTGTTACGTTCTGGGAGCAGAGACCCTTATGTCGGATTTTTCAGCCTTCTATGCAGGGTCTGGGATGACCCTTGCATCGTTAGCCGAGTGCCTTAGTGTAGGTCTCATTTCCGGATATGTTTTTAAGATTATTTTGGTAGCTATTCTGTTTCTCCTTTGCCGCCTTCTCATTGTTTTAGTCTGTTTCAGTTTGGCAGGGACTGCTTCTTTCAAAGCAAGACCACCGCCTTCCATCTGAATTTTTGTATATGCCAAGCCTGTTTTTGGGCCTGTCTCTTGAAGGTAGGGCAACAGCTCCAGCCTCAGCTGTGGTCACCCTCCTGATTTCCTCTCCTTCATAATTTACCTGAAGTCCCTCAACTTCGGCCGTGAGAGATCTGAAAGTATCTCCCATCGATGCCTCATCACGAGGGTAATATCAAAAGAAGTTCCTGAAAAGTCAGGGTGTTTATGTTCCGAGGAAGAAGAATCTGTCTCAGAATAAAAAGTCGGTCCAGTCTGTCCGTCTTTTCCTTTAAGTTTGTTTGTTTGTTTATTCGTTTCCTGCATCTTGTTCCCATGAGTATGGGGGAAAATAAACTAGGTACCACATGGAGGTGACAGTAGGCATTGATAGGGATAAGGAGATCTGGGAATTCACTAGCAGTGGGTAGGGCACTGACGCTCGATCATTCCACAAAGACTCATGCACCCATCTCCCTCTCTAGACCTCCCGTTACCCTACCCATTTGCCCCCCTGGAAATGGTCACTGTTTGCTTCGTTCAGTTGTCGGGTGTTGTATCCTTTCCATCAGTCCGAATAAATGGTCGTTCCCACTTCTATATTATCTTTAATTGCTTGTAATAAGGTTGTTGCCTTTCTGTCATTTATTTTGACTATAAAACACTCATCTCTTTCTCGGCAAACTCCACCAAACATTCATTGCTGAGGTAAAACTTTCTCCACATGATTTTTTCGTTTAGAAAAAAGACTCTCATCTACTTCAACCACTTTAATAAGTGAACATAATAAGGGAATAATTGAAAAATAAACATTGTAATAACTGAAAGGTTTGGCGGGATAAGAAGAGGAAGGTTATGTGACGCGACGTTAGATAACATAGTTAAGAAGTGAGGTTTCGACCCGGGCCTGCTAGTGAAGAAGTACCAAATAAGATTAGATAACAAGGGAGGTTTTGACACTACCAACTATTGAACAAGTACCCTAAAATCAAATATTTTTGAAGTTATCTCTCACTATTCAATAAAAAACGTGACTCAAATAACACAAATTTTAAATTTCCTACATTTCTGCTGGAAATCAGGCAATTGTTTATATGAACTTTTTTGTAGATCTTGATTTCAACTATCAACCTTTTAAATATTTCCCTCTACTTACAGGACACCCTGTATATATCCAGTGTCAGTTAGTATTATCATAAGCTTTTGTAAAATAAAAATAAACCATGTTCTCAAAGCAGTTATTAATCATTTTACCAGTGAGTCATTGACATATTATGTTACCAGATAAGGCACATTAGTATGTATTTATTAATAAATCATATTCAATTATGACAATATGTTGAACCCTCAGTGTAAAAAGTTACTCAACAATCTTCCATATCAAACAGGATAAGTCCAAATTTTATTTTAAATTTAACCCAATAAAATAATGAAAAGAACCTTGAATTTTGTAGTTAAAATCCTTGAAATGCTTAAATTTTTTTATGCTATTTTGGCAGACACCATCTTTAATATTTTGCAAAATTTTCATGATGCCAGTTTATGTTGCAATTTTTTAGATTATTTTTCTAGTTGCTATAGATTAATTTATAAGTTCCTAAACCCTCTAAAATTTTGACATCAACAATACTTACAGGTTCAAATTACATGGATGTACCTAGAGTCTATCTTCAGTTCTGAAGATATAATGAGACAAATGCCCGAAGAAGCCAGAAATTTCCGTACAGTTGATACTACCTGGAAAGAAATAATGAAAAATACAGAACAAGATACTCATATTTTAGTTGCTACTGATTATCCAAATTTACTCTCAGTTTTACGGAAACTAAATTCTCTTCTTGAAGATATTCAAAAAGGTCTTAATGATTATTTGGAAAAAAAACGACTTTTTTTTCCAAGGTATGTTTTTTTTTTAATGTATTCATTATTATTATTTCTTGTCTGAATTTTTAAAAACATCCTATTTGTGGTGATAAAAACAAAAAATATATAAATGATGTCAGGATAAAATATTGAAGAAAGTTTTAATGCAGTATCATGAGTTTAAAAAGACAATGAAATCTTTTCTTTATATTTGTAAAAACGAGTCTAAAATCAAAGTTTATCCTGACCTCCTCTATCAGTTTTTGCCATCTAGCATGGTCATACAACATCGGTGATATTCCATATCCCTGCCTTAAGCCCGTTTGAAGGCTTCAGATACTTTTCTTCTTGTATTAAGACTCTACATTTGGGATCATTTGTACACGCCTTTGTCAATCTCACCAACTTACCAGAAACTCGCAGTTCACTCATGATTTTCCAAAGATAGCTCCTGTTCAAAATCATAGGCCACTTTGAAATCGATAAATAGGGCGTGGACTTCCTGAGCTACTTCCCATCGTTTTTTGAGAACTTGTTTTAGGATGAAGATCTGATCTAGCATGCTCCTTCTTTTTCTGAATCCAGCTTGGTGGTCGCCTATTATATTCTTGTAATATGAATATATCCGGTTTAGTAGGATATTGGTCAATATCTTGTAGGCAACCAGTAGGATTGTTATGCCTCTGTAATTACTACACTCATACATGGAGCCTTTCTTTAGGATAAGACAGATTAGGCATGTATGCCAAGCCTCAGCTATACTTTCCTCTTCCCATATTTTCTGGATTAGTTATAGTAGCTTGGCTCTTAAGTCGCCTCCTCCATCTTCAAACAGTTATGATGGTAGGTTGTCTATCCTTAGGGCCTTTCTTGTTTTGAACCTTTCGATAGCTATTTCTACATCCAGTATATCTGGTTTTTCAACCTCTTCTGGGTCAAGATCCTCAGTATGGTCCATGTCTTCTTGGTTCGTGGGGTCCCCTTGATTGAGAAGTTCTTGGAAATGTTCAATATACTTTCTTTAGATGCTGTCAGAATGCCATCTTTTCCTTGCATTTGTGTATTTCTCACTTTATATCCTACCCTTTCTTTCCTCCCTAATATCTGCGTAGAATTCACATATATCTTCAACCTGCCAGTTGTCCTCAACGGTTTGCAATCTTTCTTTGAGGAATTTCCTTTTTGCCGAACTTATAGTTTTGTTTGCCTTTTTCTTGGCAGCTGTGTACTTGTCCTGAGGAACTTGATCAGTTGTAGTTAGGCAGAGGGCTTTCATTTTTTTCTTTCCTCTAGTGCCTTTTCGCATGCTTCTGTGAACCATATCTTAGCTTTTCATTTCTCCTGAACACAAATCACTTCCTTACCTGTTTCTTTTAGTTCTCATTCTATTTCCTCCCAGTGTTGGTCCATCATGAGGTTATCCGTATCCAAGGGTTTGAATTTATTTTTCAGCTCAGGTTGGAATTTGGTCCTTCTTTCCACTCGATCCCCTGTTGTGTGAATTCGCTTCAATCTCTGACATAAATCACAATTTTCCCTTGGTTATGCCCATGATCATATAAAAAATTACTAAATTTCCTACAAAATGAAAAAAAAAAATCATCGAAATCGGACAATTTTTAGCAAAGATACAGCTTACTGAAATTCGTAAACATGTTTGTTCCAAACAAAAATGAAGATTTAAATTAATTTTTGTTTTCTTTGTCGATTATATTTATCGATGAAGTAACATTTGATTTCTTAATCTTCCAATACGTTGCATTATTTTATTTTATTATTAATTTGAATTTTGATAACTATATGCTGTGCGAATTTTTCGCACGGGCCTACTAGTTGTTATTTATTTCTTATAAAAGTATTTGTGGTTTTAATTCAGCATAGCCACATCTATCAGAAAAATACGGTGAGTTAAAAAAGAAAGATTCACAAAATAGAAGGCCCCAGTTTACGAGAGCCCCTCTGTCCTAGTGGCCAGTGTGGGAGCCGGCCTCGGGATTTACATACGCAGAGGGCCTCGATTTTGTGGAGTGATGGAGGTCAAGAAAGGATGATCCCCAGCTGCCACCTGTGATCGCTCGTTTTGCGAGGCAGTCTGTACTGGACGAGCTGGTTCAAAGAAGTAAGGTACAAAGAGACTTTTCTACCTCGGATATCAATTGGCTAGTAAACGACAACTAACATCGGATTGATCTCAGTGAAGAAATGACCCGTACGAGTAGAGGTCAGTACTGGCTCGCCCTTCAGAAAAGAGCAGCAAGTAAATTAAAGTTTTTGTGGTTCACTGGCGGCAGAGTTCGATTAAGAAAAGAAGATGGCTACCCGGTGATCTACATCGATCAACCTCAAGACTTAGATGTTTTTGGCTGACAATCTGGAACTCGTTAACTCACTGATTGTTATCAATAAACATGAAGGTTCTGCTGCGCTAAATCTCACTGATGTGTTACCTATCTCTTTTATTATGGGACTTTGTCCCAGAATAAAGTTTCTTTTCTATTCTATTCTAAGGAAAAGTATTGCGATCGTGAAAATTTTAGAATCCGAGATTTCAATGGAAATACATGTTTTGTGGTCCCCTGAGTACAAATAACCAAGTCCCAAAAATGGTCTGTATGTGTTATCGGTCTAGCTCAAACACGAAAATTCGTACAAAACTGGTATTATGCATTTAAGATAGGTATATTCCCGGTACCGTAGATGTTGGAGCAACTTTTTCCTGAAAATTGTTATAAAAGGCACTTTATATTACCAATTTTACACATTTTTATAATTTTCTTAGAAATTTTCATTAAATTCGGTATAACATTGTACAATTAAATGGTATTTAATATCATTAAGGCCTCATCCTCATTTATGGTTCTTAACAGGGCTTAAATGTCGAAATTTCAAAATTTCTTTATCTGAAGTACCATTAATTTGGTCCATTTTAAATAATGAACTGTCTCTCATTGTTATTAGTAGTAAAAATACAAACTATGAAAGAATTTGATAATTGACTAAAGGAGAAAAAAGGAAAAATTTCTGTTTAGGTCTAAAATAAATTTCCAGAAATAATAGTCAAATGGTATACATATAAAATTGTAATGTACACCTTTATTATAAGTGAGTAAAGAGGGTTTAATAAATTAATGTTGAACAATTAAAAGATAAGATAATCTAGTTCTACTAGTGCAGAGAAAAGAAAATGGCTGCTCTGTAGTTTTCCCAAAAGGGAAAATCCCAAGGAGTGGATGGAACAAAGGATTTGTTTTGGCAAGCAGTTGTGTAGCTGTAGTGAAGAGAGGATAGGAGAAGTGATCCTGGCTCCAGTGGGAAAAATCCAATAATAGTATTACCACCTTGGAAGTTGTTGTTTGGCAGAGACACTAGTTGTTTAGAATAACAAGAGAGAGGATTTCCCAGTGAGGTTGATTTGAGTAGAAGAAAGTATTACCATTTTGGAAGTTATGTTTCAGCAGAAGATTGGAAATCATTTAAAGACAAATGAATTTAGCTCAACAAAGGAAAACACAATGTAGAAAAAGGTTAGCTTGCCAATTCATACTTGACTTTATTTTAAAATCAGTGTTTAATTTTTGTATAAATAGTGTAAATAATGACAGTTTGTCTGAGTTGATCTGATTGTCAGTAACGTATACCTGAGATAGAATAATTGTAAATTTCAGTTTATTATATTAATATTCTTATAAGAAGGAATTGATCGGGGGGTGTGCGGACAAATAAATACTAAATTATACAAATAGTATTATTGAATACTATTTGTATACTACTAACAATACAAATACTATTTGTATAATTTAGTATTTATTTGACCACACCCCCCGATCAACTTCTTCTCATATTATATCAAGGGTCAACCATCTCTTACATCATTAATATTCTTATAATTGGTAATTGGTTGACTGTCGTGGATAATGAAGAGAAGAATAGTTGGGGTGGTCAGTCAAAAAGGAAGGCAAAAAATAAATGATAATATTTATTTTTTACATATGCCGACGTTTCGACCTGAAGTTCAGGGCTAAGAAAATAACCAGATAACAAGGTATGAGAAACATAAGTAGTGATGGTAAAAAAAAAAAAAAATAATAAATAAATATGAAGTAAAATGAAATTGTTTGAATAATGACTAAGAACTAAGAGATAAATAATAATAACCGTTACAGAGTGTGGAATGATGAAGTAGGCATAATAAAAAAGGGTGACATAAGTGTTACAATGGGAATCTTAGAATAAAATGTAAAACATAAAAAAGAAATATGAAGTTATATAAGAAAATAAAATAAATAGTAAAATTAAAACATTGAGAATGGAGTAGTTAGATAGAAAATTGAGATATTGTAAAGTCTATCAAGATGTACAGACAATGTATAATATAATAAAGAGTTAAAAACAGAGAAAAGAAATGAAAGGAAGGAGGGAAGAAATTGAGAAAGCTGAAATAAGAAAGAAATAAAAAAAGTACTACCTGTCTCGTTAAGTGTTGCAAGGAGAATAAAAGTCGTTACAAGGGAGCGGGAGAGAGAAGAGATGTGTAGGTGGCGTCATCTCTAACGGTTATCCGACGAAGTTTGAACTAAAGCGCTGGAAGCGTAAATAGGTACGAGAGATATATTACTCAGAAAAATTATGGAAAATTGAACGAAAGTTAATAGAAAGTGAAAGAAAAATAACTATTGAGTAATAAGGATGAATAATTGAAATAAAAATATATCATATATATATATATATATATATATATATATATATATATATATATATATATATATATATATATGTTTAGTAATCGATTATAGGAAACTTAATGACATCACTGCGGAAAAACTTGCATCGTTTAGCAGGAGCCCGTGTTTTTTCTATACTCGATCTAAAATCTGGTTACCATCAAGTGAGAATGCAAGACAACTATTATTTTTATTCAAAGGTCGTTATATATATATAACAAAGTTCGTTATATATATATATCGTGATATATATTGTAATATTTTTATTTTTTACATTTATTTATCTCTCTGTCTGTCTGTCTGTTATTGCCGACGTTTGTCTTTTAAAATCTGAAATCTGTCCTTCTAACCTTTAATCTTTCTGTTAGTCAATTAACCTGGTATTCGTGTATCTATTTAAGTTTGTAAGAATGGGGTGTACAAGCTTAGATAGGATGAGAAGGATAAGGTAAGACCGCCAAGAATGATAGAGGGACAACCCCTACACATCCAGGGCTCAGCAACCGAGGAGGCAATCCCCTGACATTGCAAGGATAGGTGACCTCACGCTCCCAGGGACAACCTGAAAGACGCAAGGGGGACTGTAGGAAAACGAGGGTCAACCAAGTTATTCCTATGGAAGGAGAAAGGAAGTATAGGTTTAAGAGAGATTGGGTCTCAGTGTAAGGATAGGTTAGGTAAGACCGCCAAGAATGATAGGGGGACAACCCCTACACATCCAGGGCTCAGCAACCGAGGAGGCAATCCCCTGACATTGCGAGGATAGGATAAGGTAAGACCGCCAAGAATGATAGGGGGACAACCCCTACACATCCAGGGCTCTGCAACCGAGGAGGCAATCCCCTGACGTTGCGAGGATAGGATAAGACCGCCAAGAATGATAGGGGGACAACCCCTACACATCCAGGGCTCTGCAACCGAGGAGGCAATCCCCTGACGTTGCGAGGATAGGATAAGACCGCCAAGAATGATAGGGGGACAACCCCTACACATCCAGGGCTCAGCAACCGAGGAGGCAATCCCCTGACGTTGCGAGGATAGGATAAGACCGCCAAGAATGATAGGGGGACAACCCCTACACATCCAGGGCTCAGCAACCGAGGAGGCAATCCCCTGACGTTGCGAGGATAGGATAAGACCGCCAAGAATGATAGGGGGACAACCCCTACACATCCAGGGCTCAGCAACCGAGGAGGCAATCCCCTGACGTTGCGAGGATAGGATAAGACTGCCAAGAATGATAGGGGGACAACCCCTACACATCCAGGGCTCAGCAACCGAGGAGGCAATCCCCTGACGTTGCGAGGATAGGATAAGGTAAGACCACCAAGAATGATAGGGGGACAACCCCTACACATCCAGGGCTCAGCAACCGAGGAGGCAATCCCCTGACGTTGCGAGGATAGGATAAGGTAAGACCGCCAAGAATGATAGGGGGACAACCCCTACACATCAAGGGCTCATCAACCGAGGAGGCAATCCCCTGACGTTGCGAGGATAGGATAAGGTAAGACCGCCCAGAATGATAGGGGGACAACCCTACACATCCAGGGCTCTGCAACCGAGGAGGCAATCCCCTGACGTTGCGAGGATAGGATAAGGTAAGACCGCCAAGAATGATAGGGGGACAACCCCTACACATCCAGGGCTCTGCAACCGAGGAGGCAATCCCCTGACGTTGCGAGGATAGGTAACCCTACACTCCCAGGGACAACCTGGAAGATGCAAGGGGGACTGTAGGAAAACAAGGGCCAACCAAGTTATTCCTATGAAAGGAGAGAGGAGGTAGGTTAGGAGAGGAGAGAGAAGGAGGAAGGTAAAACCAAAAAGTAACACATTGGTCTGGTTTCAAACTGTCAGACAGAGAGATAACAGGAGCCTATGTGAGATGGTAGTGACTCGGGAGAGAGTGCCTGCCATTTTTTTTTTTTTTTTTTTCCGATCACTCTGAAACAAAACAAATCATGATATCAGTGTCATATCGGACCAGTGCACTAGCGGAACGATACTCTGAATTACCTTGACCTTTTTCTACCTGTGGTATTTGAAGGTGCGTTGAATGATTTTTGTTGGTTATCTCTTCCTGTCCACTTAAGGTCTTGATAAGATGTTTGGAGTTGAGGGTCCTCCGCTCGTTAAGTGAAAAATATATAAAATAAAATAAAAATTAAGCATAACGATAAAATAAGGAGGGGGGGGGAGGAATAGGGATATGGATAGGGATGGGGAGGCGAGGACTAGCCGTGAGGCGGGTTAAATGATTATGTTGGTAGGGTTTATTGGACCCTTACGGCCTTGCCATCTGGCAGGGAGGGGGGCTGTGGTGATGGATCGGAATAATGGGTTAAAGGATGCGGGGAGGTTGTCGAAGAACTTGATATGTCTTCTTGAAATATGTTGTTGCACAAAGTCGAGTTGTAGTTCGTTATGTATGTGTTTCATGTTTCGTCTTTCTAATGTTGTCCCTTTGCAGATCTTCATGAGTATGCTGTTCTGGTATTGTTGTTGTTTCTTCAGGGCTGTGGGATATAGGTAGTGTAGGAGGGGGGCACCGTGGAGAAGTGAAGGTCTGAGTATGGCTTTATATATGAGTAATTTGAGTCTGAGTGACAGCCCTGGAGAATAGAGTAGATGGCGGAGTTGGTATGTGGTAGATTTTACTGTTTGTATTCTGTGTTGTATGTGCGCTGTGAAAGATAAGTGTGATTCGAGTTTTATTCCTAGGTATGTGAGATGTCTTTTTGTTTTTATAGTTTGACCGTTAAGTTTAGGTAGTTTTTCAGTGGTTTTCTTGTATGAGAATGTGATGGCGTCGGTTTTTGCGGGGTTGATGTGGATGTTTATGTTTTTAAGTTGGTCTATGATCAGTTGGGCTGCATTTTGTGCTCGGCGCATTGCGTGTTTAGCTCCCATGCTTGCTGTGTAGATAGCAATATCATCAGCATAAGCAGCTATTTGAACTTTGTCAATTTTGGTCCCAACTATTTGGGCAGTGTAAATATTAAATAGGATAGGCGCCAGAACTGAGCCCTGGGGGACGCCACAAGTAACTGGCCTAGGGGGTGACATGTCAGTTTTGACTCGAACTGAGAAGGTCCTGTCACTGAGATATGAGCCGATAATATCGACTAGTTGTACAGGGAATTGGTGATGCCTGAGTTTATCGATAAGGATGGAGTGGGATACAGAATCAAAAGCCTGTGTGCAGTCAAGGGAGATCATGGCTGTGGCAAGATTTTTATTTAGGTTATTAGCTGTTTCGTACTGTAATTTAGCCACGTGGTGATAACAGCTAACGCCGCGAGAGAACCCAGTTTGTTCAGGGGGTACAATGTCATGTGAATCGCAGTGTTTTCGGATGTGGATGAGGATTAGTTTCTCATATATTTTTGAGATGTGGTCGAGGAGACTGATCGGCCGATAATCTTCCGGGACCGCTCCTCGTTTCCGGGGTTTGAGGAGTGGAACGACAATAGCATGTTTCCACTCCGTTGGGAAATATCTGAGGCGTGAGCATGAGTTAAAAATGTTAAGGAGAAACATTAGGGTTTTACGGGGTAGTTGTTTGATAAGGACAGAAGGAATATTGTCCTTTCCAGCAGACTTGTTTCCCTTTGTTTTTCTCAAAATTGCAGTCAGGTCTTTATATGTGGAGAATATTGTGTTATTTAGGTTATCCGTGTGGGAGATGTGATGATAAATGGTGTCAGTACGGGCATCGTCTCGTTCTACGTAGTAGTCTGATAGAATGCTAGCCTGGTCTGCAGGAGTGAGAAGCTCATCGCCTCGGAGGATTTTCACCGATTTGGATTTGGTGTTGTGGCTTCTGACTAGTTTCCAGAATTTTTTATGGTCGTTGTGGGTCCGGCGAAGTTGTTCATGCCATATTGACGTTTTCCACTGCGACATAAGGGATGTTATTTGTCTAGTAAGGCTGTTTATGATAGGTTTGTAAGTAGGGTCTTTAGTTCTGTACCAGCAGTTCTTGATGTTGTTACGTTGTTTTATGATTGATAGGATGTGTTTTGGTGGTATGCGAAGGTGAATTGGAATGGGGTTGAAGGTGGGTATGGTGGTGTTCGCTGCATTATGGATAATGTTGTGTAATGTACTAATGGCGTTGTCGATGTCTATAGTTGTTGTAAGTGTCGTGATGTTAGGTGTGTCACTATATACTTGTGTCTTGTATTGTTTCCAGTCAGCGTGTTTGAAATTGTATTTGTAGTCTGTGGTTGAGTTAGGGTTGAGTTATGTCCTAGTTCGTATAGTACAGGTATGTGGTCGTTGTTGCTAAAGTCTATCGTGTTGCAGTTTGTGAATCTGTGTGGTTGTTGTGTGAGTAGTAGATCAAGTGTAGACGTGATATTTGGGTTAGCATGATGTCTATAAGTGTATGCATTAGGGTGTATGATTGTATAAGTAGATTTGGTCAGGAAGTTTCCTAATTCATTAGAGTTTGTGCAGTTCCATGTATGGTGTTTGGCGTTGAGATCTCCTACTATTATGTGACGTTTTTCTGTCTCGGTGTCCTTCAGAAATAGTTTTAATATGTCAGGTTTTCCACTAGGACTACGGTAAATGCATGTAATTTTGTATGTATGTTCAAGTTTTACTTGTATAGTAATTGCTGAGTGTTTGTCGTCATTTAGTGTAGTGTTGTTTATTAATCTGGAAGGGACGTCATAACGCACCAGAAGTGCGACGCCACCATGTGATGGGGAATCTAGTCGGTATATGTGGTACCCGGGGAAGTATATGTGAGTTAGTTTGTTGATTCGTGTATCAGTCAGTGCAACGACTGATGGCTTGTGGGAAGCCAGGAGAGTTTCTAGCTCAAGTTTACGATGCATGAGCCCTGTTATGTTATAGTTTATAATCAAATGTCTAACCATTGATGTTTTTTTGAAGTATAAGGTTAACTGTGTTTAATAGGGTTGGGAACATGGACTTCATGTCCCTGAACGTGCCCACGAGGTCGGAGACCCATGGGGGCTGTTCATAGGGTGGGGATTGGGTGGTGGGAGGGGGAGCTAGGTGGGCTACTCCCGCATAAGAGTCGGGTCTTGAGGTGGTGGGCGGAGCTTGTGATGCTTTACCCTTTTGATCTTGTCTGGGGTTTGGTGCTGTATTTCTTCCAGCATGAGCCTGCACTATGTTTTGTAATAGTGCAAGTCTCTTTTCGCAATTGCGATAAGAGGCCACATGAGGGCCCTGATAATTTGCGCATTTGAGGGGGGTGTTTCGGGAGCATTCGCTGATGTCGTGGTGTGTCACCACATCGTACGCATTTTATCTTGCGGGCACAGTAATTTTTTGTGTGGCCAAATTGCTGACAGTTGTAACACTGCCTGGGACCATTGATGTTCCTCAGTTTCTCAACTGAGTACCCCATATGGTCGATTGGACCAACTGCTTTGAGGTTGTCAATGGTAGTGTCAGGGTCTGTCGTGACTATAATATGTGGCAGTTCTATTTTGAAGCCATCTGCGTCGGTCTTTTTCATCCTCCATACAGATTTGAGTCCGGGTAAGCGGGCTTGGAGGGTTTCAGTAATTGAATCAAGGTCATGGTCAAGGTCCAGACCTTTAATGATAAATTTATTAAGCGGCCTTGAACCGCGTGGGGAGTAGGTGTGAAAATGAATTTCATCGCTGACATTTAGGACATGTATTGCAGCTTCGTAGTCAGGTTTGAGGTCCAAATACAATTTGGTTTCGTCCCTATTTGAACGAATGGTAAAGTTTTTAATTTTAGCATCTAATAGAGCTTTTCGTAATGCCACAGCGGACATTGCTGGTCTGATAATAATAGGAGGTGGTTTAAACGTTTTTGGCGTGGTAGAGTTTTTGTATTGTGTATTGTTACTACTGGATGGTGTAGGGTCCGTGTTATTATTAATTGTCTGTAGTGCAGAAAAACTGTTGGATGTTCTCGTCGGTATGATAGTTGGTCTTGGTGCGTACGAAATTTTCTTAGGTATAATGTAGCCTTCAAAGTCAGTATTTTCGTCCTGATTGTACCTTTTCAGTTTATTTGTGGGAGAGTTGAGGTGTTCCATTGTGCTATGTTGTATCTGTGGGTCATGTTCAGATTTGTTGTTAGTAAGTGGTGGCGTCATGTTGGTGATTTAATAGAATTGTAAGTTAACTTAGACAAATTAATTAACCAAAAGGTTAATAATAAAGCTACGTACTTACGTGAACCTCACATAATGCAGGAGCACACAAGAACGAGAAGTAAACAATATGGAAAACCGTTGAAAACCGTTAAGAGCTGTAGTGACGTCACCAGCGATGTACACTGCAGGCGAGCCAGAAACAGAGTCGCGATGATTTCCTAGCGCTCTGCTTGGTACGAG